CAGATATTGCCTGTGGCTCTAATATGCACCTCAAGATTTTAAGGAGATAATGTTTTTAGAGAGAAATTCTGCTTCCACAATAGTATATATACATAAATGTAAAATATTGACAAAAGTGGAAGTAGTGTATTTTAAAGCAATTATACTTCTGAATTTATTTTTCATATTCTATAGTTGGTATGACCTAAATGAATTAACTGAAGTGGGTAGTGAGTGTACTTATTTTAAATGTTTTGATTCTGTTATATTTTCATTAAGTTTTTAAAAATTAAATTGGATACTAAATTGTATGGATATCCTTTATTAATTTTAAATTTCTCAATAACAATACTCAAGCAAGTTCTTAAATAAGGATAAATTATTCCTGATAAAAAGTACAATGGCATGAGTTTTAGTAGAAGAGATTTACCTAAGAGATAGCTGAATTCGGAGTGTTCACCTCAGGGTATTAGAGAGATTAACTGCTAGGTGTAGAGTCAGTCACCAGGTCTGACTAGAGACCCGGAGCTTCCAACTTTCGTATGTTCAGGCTGTTTTCCGTGGTAGCAGCCAGCCACCAGCTCTGCCCCACAAGGCCAAATGGTGGGCTGACTGTGGCTGCTTTCTCATACAGCAGAAGCTGAGGAATTGCACCAGAGACCACATGACCCAGAAAGCCCAAGATGTTTGTAATATGTCCCATTCAGCAAAATCACCCAAGAAAATGACTGGCCCATGCTCTGAGCAAAGGAGTGTGCCATTAAAAGACGTAGTGTTTTTCAGGGAAGGAGAGAACCTCAGTACGACCTGTGGCATTACCTTTTGTCCTTTCTTAAGAAGCTAATAGTAGACAACTGATTTAGAAAAGCTTAATGTGACATTAAATATGAAATTTTAAATATTGAAAAGCCATAAATCATCTTTTAAACAGTTACATAAGAAAATGTTTTATCACTGGAATAATGTAAAGATAGGTGAGTTAATCACTGTCTTAAGTGGAATTAGAAAGAACATAGGTTTATCCATGATAGAAAATAAATTTTGAGCCTTTTAAAAGTCTATGTAACTAAAGATTAGTAGTAAAAAGACATACCTTTTCCTCAAATGTACTAAGGGGCTTGAAAGAAACTATATTACCAGTACCAACTTTGGTAATCACCATAATTTTGTCCATGTTTAAACATTGGAATTATACCACAGGCAGTATTTCTAGTGTTCTGTACATTCTAGCAGCTCAGCATATGTAGGGGAATTTTGTCTTGAAACTTTCAGTGAATGATAAAAGCTATACATTTGTATATAACTAAAGATCAGGAAGTAGAATGATTAATTCTGTTAGCTCTGAACCACTTGATCTTGATTAATTCTAAATTTCTGAATGCACACTTAGTATTTGGTCATCCCCGTTCTGAGCACCAAACAGTTAAATATGAATGCCAAGTAGAACTGGTGTTGTTATCCTCAAGTCAGCCTAGCTCTTCCTGACAAAAGTAGGTGGGTTTAAGTCATTAGATCTATAGTTGACACTAATTAATCCCTCTCGAATCATAATTTTAAGTAGAAGATAGGCATTCTGTGTTAAAATTCTTAATTTATTTGTACCCTATACATAAATGGTTTTTATGACTGTCCCTAATTTCCTTTATTGAAATAAATTGTTATGAAAAAATTTTATAGTGAAGTTCATCTTGGTTAATTAGAGAAAAATGGCAAGATATTGTTCTGTTTACCATAATTTAGAACTCACATTTAACTAGCATTTTGTAGTTTTACATTCCTTTTTAACCCATTCAGTGGAGAATGTCAGATCTTCTCCCACACTGTATGTTAAATCAGTCCTAATCCTAATATGTACTCAACATCAAAGACAAACATGTAATAAACATGGAAATAAAGTTTAGCTCTATTAGTGAAATGTTAAAGTTTATTGTGTGCTTCAAATAATGCCATTTCCAGACCTCCTCTTCCAAAGGATGAGGAACGTGTCGGGGCCGATTCCTGTTTCCTGCCTTATGCAGCTGTACAGATAGCAATGCCTTTTACTAAGTCAGAACACTAAGCAGACCCCAGACTTAGAGGACAAGAGCATAATTCCTTTGTTAAGGTTTGCTCCCGAGAGACAGTAGTTAAATGTAGATACTGACTGGGATACAGAAACATCAGGGTGTTTCTATAGGTATTCATTAGAGGCACAGCAGAGCAGATTTTTCTAGGAAAGTAGAACAGACCAGTCTCCAGGTTGGGCCTGATCCAGCACCCTGTGCGGTTCTGTAAATGATTTTATTGGAACACACCTATATGCATTCTTTTAGTTCGGGTCTTTGGTTGCTGTTATGCAGTGGTAGGGTTGAGTAATTGCAACATAAAGTCTCCAAAGCCTGTAATAACTTACATTGTTCCCCCTCACAGAAAAAAATCCGAGTCTGTAATAAAAAACAATCCAGGGCCAGGGATGTAGCTCATTGGCAAGCTCCAGGGGTCAAGTTGAGGCCAGTCTGGGCAATCCTGTATCAAAATAAAAAGGACTGGGACACAGCTCAGCACTCACTGGATTCAGTCCCCAGTATTGGGAAAATAATTCTACTGGTCATTAATAACTTGTGGTGTTTAAGTGACAATGTGAGCAGGTAGAGGTCCTAGAAGTATGTACCCTACCCCTAGCCTATGCCGAGGCTGACCTGAAGGTTGACCCAGCCTCCAGTCCCTGGATTCTCCACAGCACAGGACAGTAGAGTTGACAACAAACAGACTGACCTCAAAGAAGAGACCAGAGCTTGAGGAGAGATTTTGCTGCAGGACAGAATCCATACCCTTCCATAGGGATCAAGTGAGAGACAACTTTGGGAGATAGGCTTAAAGAGGGGTCAGGAGGCCCAGGCTCAGCCAGGAAGTACCCACAGACCTGTGTGGTGGTGTGGGAGGCAGATTTAGTGGGAGTCATCACCTGAGCGGAGGGTTCTGAAGAAGGCCCGAAGTCTTTTTAACTCTGGCAGCAGAAATCAGTGGTCTGAATTACTACAGTTTAATATGGGGGAGGTGCCTAATTATCTTCACTAAAATTCAGAGTCCTCTGTTTTAGTAAAGGACTGTTACATAAACAGTTCCTAGAGTTTGTCAATATCTACTTGACATTTAAAGCCATGTTACTGAATTTTCTACTATAGACCAAAGTAATATAGTGGCAAGCATTTGGTTTTCTCTCTAGGTCAATAACTGGATTGCCTAAGAGATCATAAAAAATTCTGTGGCTCACTCCCCAAAAATGGGGCACTGGGCCAAAGAATTTACAAAACTTAGCATACAAAAAGGCAATAAATACCTCCAAAAACTCCCACTTTCCCCAAAATCATTATAGGTGCTGTTGAGGGAAGAGGAAATCAGAAACTACACTAGAAATACATCTGATGGAAAAAAAAAAAAAAAAAGTTCTATACGGTGCTTTGATTTTTCTGAAGTTCTTGTAGAATTGGGAGTGAATCCATTAGAATTGGTTTGGTACATAGATATTTGTAATTGTTATCTTTTCATGTTGAGTAGTTCTGGGATCAAATCATCCAAAAGATCATCATCCTTCATCCCAGGGATGCAAGGATAGTTCAACGCACACAAATGAATGCCTGCAATTCATATAAACAGAAGCAAGAACAGAATTACATGATCATCTCAATAGACATAGAAAAAGCCTTTGGCAAAATTCAACATCCATTCATTTTTTAAAAACTAAAGAAAATACATATAGTCATTATCTCAACATGATAAATGTCATTTATGTCCAACATACTGCCAACATTATATTAAATGGGGAAAAGTAAAAAGCCTTTCCTCTAAAATCGGGAATAAGACAAAGGTGTCCATTATCACTTTTCTTCCTCAGTATAGTCCAGGAAACAATGCAGTCAGGCAAGAGAAAGAAAAGGGATGTATATAGGAAAACATGAAGTCAGATATTTTCAAATGACATCCTTTACTAACAGCATACAAGCAAACCTGCCAAAAGACTTCTAGAATTGATAACCAAATTCAACAGTACAATGATATACAAAATAAACACAAAAATGAATAGCATTCCACTGAAAAAGCAATTAGGAAGACAGTACCATTCATGTTAGCATCAAAAAAATTAAATACTTAGATACTAACCTAACTAAGGAAGTGAAAGACGTCGACAGTGAATAACAAACTGAAAAAGAAATTGAAGACATCAGAAAATGGATAGGTAGAACTAACAATCCAAATGGCTATCCTTCCAAAACTCCTTTAAAGAAATTCTAATCAAATACAACATATCTCACAGAGCAAGGGAAAATAATCCTAAAATTTGTATGAAATTAGGAGAGACACAGAAAAGCAAAAACATTGGTTAATGAAAGTAAAGCAGGTGTCATCACAATCCCAGACTTGAAGTTATACTATCAAGCTGCAGTGATTGAAACAGCATGGTACTGGCACAAAACAAACGTGGATCAATGAAACAACAAAAACCAACCTCAGGCACATAAAGCTATTCAATCTCTAAAAAGGGACAAAAAATATGCACGGTCAGAAGAATAA